AAAACAAGCTTCTCTCCATACTTTGCTCAGCCTCAATTTCCTTTTGGGTAAATCCTAAACATCTGGGTTAATTTGACTTGAATTTTTTTCTGAATTGGGGGCTATAACACCTTTATTTTGCCATTATGTGGGTTTGATTTGTATTTTAGTAAATGTAGCTCCATTTTTGAACAAGCACCATTTCAAAATGCATTACAAAATTTCCTCTGTACCATAGTCATATATTCTCCCCAGTTTTCTTCATTTAATCCTCATTTTAGTATAGCTGGTCTAAGTTTACAAATAGGTTCATTCCTTCTCCTCAACATCATTATTGAGCAAATCTCCTAGAGGAGGTTGGATCTCAGGGAATGAGTTACATCCACAAAATACTCTGAAGGTGATTAAAAGAAGCATCACAAATTTCTGCACTGCAAGGTTCACCACAGGACAATTTGCTCTTTTACCCCAATTCCTTTTGAAGGCAAGCTGAAATTTGGACTGAAAGTCCCTGGAAGCTGCCACTACAGTTTTACTATTTCGTGAGTAAAAAAGCCTTACATACTAAAGTCATGTGTTTCCAATTCCTGATTGAGTAAGTAGCCCAGAGTTTAAATCATAATAAAAAGCTGATGCCTGTATATTGCACTCAGACTGTGATTCATTTGCACAGCTGAGGGAAGAACATGAAAACCCCCAGAAGAGCACAACAAAATTCCACTCTGTGAGCTGATAATAATATTCACAGCTTATAAGATGTGTTCTCGCAGTAGCTGCCTTTGCTTTGATCCAGTGCAGAACAAAACCATGAGAACTTTTTGATGTGAGTGGCATAATCCAAGAATTGGATGGGATTTGTCTGGGCTGAGGAGGAGCTCTTGCTGGAAGTCTTGTCAGAAACAGAAATCCCTTTGGACAGGCAGCAAGATGAGCCACAGGGATGGCAACTAATGGAAAAAAAAAAACCCTCCTGGAAAAGAGGTCTCACTTATTGTGAACCATTTAACCTTCCAACGTCATACCTGAAATCCTGGAATGAACCCTACAGCCTTGGTGGATGTGTCCCCTCCTCTGGACTGGTTTCCATCCATGACTGTGCTGCATCTCCTGCTGTTCCCAGTTTCCTCACTGCTCTCCTGCACAGCCTCCTGAGCCGTGCCTCACCACACTCTCCCTGCTCCAGACTTGCTGCTTTCCAAACTCCTCCTGCACCCTCAGCAGCAAACCAGAGCCAGCCTGTTTTGTAAAGCGACACCACAGTGCAAGTAACCACCAGAACCTGCTCCTTCACAAGGTCTTCTCTACCCCACATCCGTGTGTTCAGCACCTTGAGCTCAGAGCCCATTCGTACCTTCAGAAATCACCTTGGACACACACTCCACTGCCAGGCTCTTGTGTCCCACCACAGATAAGGTCACTTAATTTCATGGGGAAATTTATTAATAAAACATGAGGTGGTTTATAGAAGAGATTCTACTTAAATCCTACATGTCTGCTCTATTCTTTCTCATTTCACCAGTTTGAACAAAGAAGAGCCCAAGAGGCAGAATCTGAAAATTAAGAAAGATTCAGTGACAACTTTCAGAGCTGTGTATCCAGCTGTGCCCGGTTTTGCTCAACAACAGCATTTTGAACCTGGATCACTCATCCTTCGCATTGTGGAATTTTGAGAACAGGTTCCTTCCCACTTACTCCTAAAGCATAAATGACCGGAGGGGTTGGAGTAAGGGATCAGTCCTAGGCTGATTCAGCTAGCACTGAACTTTCTGCACAGCACTAAGTTAAAGGAAGACAATCCCTAAAACAGAAGGCACAGAAAGGGCCGTGCTTTGCCCCTTTCCACAGCTGTCACAGAAGCTGAAGCGTACAGAGCAGCTTTATCCCCCAACTGCTAACGACAAACAAAAGGAAAATTTCTGAACAGACAAGGCAGCACTGCCATGGCTCAGCTGCCCGGAGCAGAGGAGTCTGAAGCGGGCGTCTGGAGTTATTTTTCAGGCAGGCTGGTCACGGGGGGAAGGAGGAGCAGGGGAGCAGCCCTGCGAGGGGACGGCCCCAGGATTTATTTCCCTGCAGGACCCACTCAAAATCCACCCACGCACCCACTCTTCCCTCCGGTGAGCCCGGGGAGGGGGAACGCGCCCGGCGGCCGCGAGGTGGCGACATCGCCCAGGGATGCGAGGGTGGGAAAGGCAAGGGAAAGGTGGGAAAGGCAAAGGAAAAGTGGGAAAGGCAAGAGAGAGGTGGGAAAGGCAAGGGAAAAGTGGGAAAGGCAAGGGAAAAGTGGGAAAGGCAAGGGAAAAGTGGGAAAGGCAAGGGATGGGTGGGAAAGGTAAGAGAGAGGTGGGAAAGGTAAGGGAGAGGTGGGGACGGCAAGGGAAAGGTGGGGACGGCAAGGGAGAGGTGGGAACGGTAAGGAAAGGTTGGAAATGGTAAGGAAAGGTCGGGAAAAGCAAGGCAAAGAAAAGGTGGGAAAGGCAAGGGATGGGTGGGAAAGGCAAGGGAAAGGTGGGAAAGGCAAAGGATGGGTGGGAAAGGGGAGGGAGAGGTGGGAGGGCAAGGCAAAGGAGAGGTGGGAAAGGCAAGGCAAGGCTGGGAAAAGCAAGGCAAGGGAGAAGTGGGAAAGGCAAGGGAAAGGTGGGAAAAGCAAGGCAAGAGAAAGGTGGGGAAGACAAGGGAGAAGTGGGAAAGGTAAAGAAAGGTTGGGAACAGTAAGGAAAGGTCAGGAAAAGCAAGGCAAAGAAAAGGTGGAAAAGGCAAGAATGGGGTAGGAAAGACAAGGGAGAGGTGGGAAAAGCAAGGAAAGGCTGGGAAAAGCAAAGCAAGGGAAAGGTGGGAAAGGCAAGTGAAAGGTGGGAAAGACAAGGGATGGGTGGGAAAAGTAAGGCAAGGGAGAGCTGGGAAAGGCAAGGATGGGATAGAAAAGATAAGGCAAGGCAAGGCAAGGGAGGGTGTCGATGGGGGATTCAAGTGGTTTTCCAGGTCTCAAGGAGACACAAACAGTTGCTGGTTGCTGGAAAGATATTTATTGTATAAAAACATCAGTCTCATCAAAGGCAAAGAGTTCAGAGAGTTAAAGTCCGTGCTAAAAGTTTTTGGCATAAAGTCCCAAATTCTGAGCAGCAGCTCTCTGCTATAAAATCCTGATGTCCTGGGCATGGAGTCCTGTTGTCCTGGGCCACAGAAGCAGTTGGTGATGATGATGGTGCTGCTCTTCTTCTTCTTCGGGTGTGTGTGTGTCTGTGATCCCCAATACAGGGGATTAACTTCGTAAATCATCCAAACAGCTAAAAACAAGATTCTAAACCAAAACTTTCTACACTAATCCAAGCTTAATTCGAACATGTGAAAGCATTGATCTCTTTATCTAAATCTTACATATAGGGTAGTACCCTATCTGTTCTATCTAGAAATGTAAGCTATATTTTCATTATGTATAGAGCTATGTTGAATCTGAGAAGGGTAGCACTGAACTTTAAACTGGGTAATAAGGCTTTTCACTAGCTAACACAGACTCTTAAGGCATTTAAGTTATATTTTTACTTAAAACGAAAACCTACACTCCTATATGTATATAATATAAATGTATATAATTTCTATATTTATATTTTTTATACATGTATACTATATATATTTATATTATATATATAAAAATCTACGAGAACCAGGAGCGGTTTCACCTGGCGGTGGTGCAAGGGGGGATGCGGAGCTGGAGCTGAAACGGCAGAACTGGCAGTGAAATAAATAAAGCTTGTGGGGCTGGAGCTGAAATCACTGTCGGGATGGCAGAGTGACTGCTGGGATGTGAAAGGGACATTTGGGATGGGCTGGCTATTGTCGGGGTGCCATAGGGACTATCGGGATGCGAAGGGGCTCCAAGCCCGGCCACCCCTTCAGCGCGGCCGCGGTCCCGCCAAGCTCAGGCCGGGCAGCCGCGGCCCGGCCCCTCAGCCCGGCTGTCCTGAGGCGCAGCTCACACGGCGGCCACTTCGGGACCCGGCAGAGCCGCGGCC